GGGGTTGGAACTGGATGGTCTTTAAGGTCCCTTCCAACCCAAACCATTCTATGATTCTATGATATATCAGACCACAAAAGGACACAATAATATTTAAACAAGATAACTTAAATGAATCTATGGAAGTTAGACCTGCATTGTAATACAGTAGGCAATTTTTCTCTAGAATTAAACAACACTGTATTTACCAGAAATATTTAAATATTCAGTGTTAACAGAATGGGAATTAAAGAACATTTTATTTGAACATTTGTGCTTAAACCACTGCAATACAATTTTATTTCATAAAAGATTTCTAATAGTAACTTAACTATACAAAGACCCATGTAGCCATTATATAGACACACACACACACACACAAACCCATCTCATCTGACACAGCAAAGTCAAACTGCTCCCCTTAGGAAGTATTTTTTGTGTAATTAAATAATCCAGTTCATTTACATATTCAACATATGACAGTTTGAGAAATTTTAGTTTGAAGATGTTATTTATTAGAACATACACATGTTTAAAATTTCAGCTGTGGAGGTGTTCAAGAGTTTCTCATAATCACTGTCATTGTTCAATACAGTAATCAAAAAAACCAGATGCTAATCTCAAAACCCTATCATTTTTCAAAGAGCTCTCGCAGTAAGGGAAGCTATTGAGGCAGAAACATACACAGATAAAACGGCACTGATGATCTACAGGCCTTCTTGTAACTCACTTCAGAGCCTCCCACTTTGAGATCTCTTTTGCCTGAGACAGCAAAGAGCAGCAAGAAACACTTCTGACAAACGTCGTTTTCCCTGGACCCACTCCTAGTCCAGCAAGGAGCAACATTTTGCACTGCTCTTTACTGTGTCATCAGAAATAGTTTCTCCTCTTGTTTTGATCTTTCCTTAGGACCCCTAAACCAACAACTCATAGCCCTTTTTTCTATGGAGATATTTATGCAGTGTTATTATCCAAGATACTCCTGAAGGCTGAAAAGGCCAAAGACAGAAGCAAATTCTATGCAGCTGTCCAGCTCTTAGTCCTAAATTTTGCTCTACCACCTTAATGAAAGCTTTAACTAGTTATACTCAACTTTACTAAGCCAGAAGTCTACTGAATAAGTATTTCAATCTACAAATATATAAATGTTAGGCAGGTATACTCGTTACTTGCAAAAGTGCCTTTCTCATGTTTGATTGTTGAGGTCTGCTATAGTTCAATGCCTGGAAGAAATTAATGAAGTCTTCACAGCCACAAACGCAATAGCTAACATACTAGTTGAACTGGCACAAGGCTAGAGGCACCAGGAACCCAACTGGGCTAAACAGGGCATTCATGTCAGCACTAGTGCGAACAAAAAATAGATGCACATGAGGTGGAAGCAAGAACAAACTACAAAAGAGGAATATAGAAGCATTGATCAAGTATGTTGGGATAGTGCCAGGAAAGCCAATGCTCAGCTACAGCTCATACTGGTAATGGACATCAGTGGCAACAAGAACAGCTTCTACCACTACATTAGCATTAAAAGCCTGAATAAGGAAAGCATAGGATATTTGCTGAATGGGGACTGTGATCTAGAGACAGTGGACTTGGGCAAGGTTGGAGCACCCCATACCTTGGTTACCTTAACCTTCACTGCCAGGGTTCCCAGCCCTTAAGTGTTCAGAGACTAGCTTCAAGAAAGAGAATTAGTAGCAGTGGATGAGGATTGGGTCAGGAATCTCCCAGGAGACCTCCAGACATGCAAATCCACAGCACCAGATAAGATGCTGAGCGTTAGCTGGTACCACTGGAAGGCCACTCACTATCACTTTTGTTAAGCCATGGTGGTCAGGGGTCTCCATAATTGGGACTTTGTAATGACTGAAGGTACACATTCACACATATACAAAAAAGGGCAAGAATAATTCAGGAAACTACAGGCCTCACTGTGGTCCTCGGAAAAGTCATGGAGCAAGTCTCTTGAAAGACATTTTTCAGCAATTGAAGGAGAAGAGTATGACCAGGAGAGATTTACCCAGGGTAAACAATGCTTGACTAACCTGTCTTCTACAATGGACTTACTAGATCTGTGGATAAGGGGTGGAATAGCAGATGTCTACATGGTCATTGTATCCAAACTGAGACTTTAGAGTCTAAGTGAATAGACAACTAAATGTGCAAAAGATCAAGGTGGATCATTGTGCTTCAGAGGTCAGTGGTTAATTGTTTGTACTCAGAGACCAGCTACAAGGAGTTTCCCAAGGTCTATCCTACTTAATACTACTTCATCCACGACCTGAAAGAGGAGATCGAGCGTACCCTCATCAAGTTTGTGGATGGGGTACAGTCCATAAGCCCAAGGGCCATGCTGCATTTCAGAATAATCCAGATTCTACAGGAATGGGTTAATGGAAACATCAATTAAATTAAAACAAGGACAAATACATAATACCTGGGACAGACTAACTTCCTACTATGGTACCAGCTGTGGAATGACTAGCTTGGGGGCAGCTCTGCTGAAAAATACCTAGAGGTGCAGGTGGACAGTAGCTTCAACAGGAGTTACCACAGCATCCTGGCAGCAATGAAGACTAACAGCATACTGGGCTGTATCAACAGGATTATTCACAGATTCAGAGTGGAAGAGGTTGGAAGGCACCTCTAGAGATCGTCTAGGCCAACCCCCTGCCAGAGCAGGATCACCTAGAGTAGATCACACAGGAACAAATCCAGGCGGCTTTTGAAAGTCTCCAGAGGAGACTCCACCCCCTCTCTGGGCAGCCTGTTCCAGGGCTCTGTCACCTCACAG